ACGTTGAAATTAGATTAGTTGAATTTTCCAACTTAATTAGAAGTTCTTGAATTTAGTAAGTTTGAAAGTTGAAGTTAGAAAAATTGGGGATTTTAAAATATGATTGTAAATTAAGTATTAGAAGTTAGAACTAACAAATAATTAGAAGCTAGAAGTTAGAGATTAGTTGAATTTTTCAATTTGCCATTGTATTTGTGCTTATATGTATTATATTGTAGTTGAAAATTGGGTTACTTGAATTATATTCTTGAACTTGGAAATTCTTGAATTTAGAAATTCTAGAAATTAGATATGAACTAGAATTTTTGTAGGATTTTAGAACTTTAATTAGGTCGTGAGCTTTAGAAATCTTGAATTATTGTAGGATTATAGAACTTTAGAAATCTTGAATTATTGTGGGATTTTAAAACTTTAAGTTGTGAATTTTAGAAATCTTGAATTATTGTAGGATTTTAAACTTTAGGATTTGAACTTTAGAAATCTTGAATTATTGTAGGAATTTAGAACTTCAGGTTGTGAACTTTAGAAATCTTGAATTATTGTAGGATTTTAGAACTTAAAGGTGTGAACTTTAGAGAACTTGAATTTTTGTAGAATTTTAGAACTTCACAAGGTTGTGAACGTTAGGAATCTTGAATTATTGTAGGATTTTAAACTTTAGGATTTGAACTTTAGAAATCTTGAATTATTGTAGGATTTTAAACTTTAGGATTTGAACTTTAGAAATCTTGAATTATTGTAGGATTTTAAACTTTAGGATTTGAACTTTAGAAAATTATAGAGAACTTGAATTTTGTAGGATTTTAAAACTTTAAATTGTGAACTTTATAGAACTTGAATTTTCGTAGGATTTTAGAACTTTAGAGAACTTGAATTTTTGTAGGGTTTTAGAACTTTAGAAATCTTGAATTATTGTAGTATTTTAAAACTTCAGGTTGTGAACTTTAGAAATCTTGAATTATTGTAGGATTTTAAAACTTTAGGTTGTGAACTTTAGTAATCTTGAATTATTGTAGGATTTTAAGCTTTAGGTTGTGAACTTTAGAAATTTTGAATTATAGTAGGATTTTATAACTTTATAAGATTGTAAACATTAAAAATCTTGAATTATTGTAGGCTTTTAGAACTTTAGGTTGTGAAACGTTTGAAATCTTGAATTATTGTTGCATTTTAGAACTTTAAATTATGAATTTTAGAAAACTTGAGTTTTTGTAGGATTTTAGAACTTTAAGTTGTGAACACTGAAATTGACCATTTGAAAACAAAACAATGGCCAATAAAAAGAATTATCCTTTGAAGTTGATTTTAATGAGCATAAAACCAAGTGAAGAGTCTAATTACTGCTTTTTGTTTCACTTTATAGAGAACTTGATTTTTTGTAGGAACTTTAGGTTGTGAGAATTATTGTAGAATTTTAGAACTTTAAGTTGTGAATTTTAGAGAATTTGAATTTTTGTAGAATTTTAAACTTTAGGTTGTGAACTTTGAAAATCTTGATTTATAGAATTTATGAATTAATTATTAGGTTGAACTTTAAAAATCTTGATAAAATATAGTCTTTATGAACTAGTTGTAATTTTGAAACGATTTTTTTGTAATTTTAAAATGAATTTTGAAAGACTTTATAAGTCTTTAAATTGTGATTTAGATATTTTTGAATGTTAATTTAAGTTTGTTGTTTTATATTTCGTATAGCTTCTTTAAAATGTTTTGTGTTTGATTGGGGCTGAATTGAATTGCTTTTACAGGTGGGCAGCAGAAACTGACAACTTTTGTTGTCAAAAAAATTGCAGAAAAAGCGACGGACAAGGTAGTTATTTCCGTCGCTTTTTTGGATTTTATTTTTTTAAAAACCCAGAAAAGCGACGGAGAGGGTCCTTTAGTCCGTCGTTTTTTAAATTTTATTTTTTAAAAAACCCATAAAAGCGACGGACAGGGTCCTTTAGTTCGTCGCTTTTCTGGATTTTTCAAATTTTATTTATAAAAATGCGACGGACGGCGTCTCATTGTCCGGCCAAAAAAGTGACGAACGGCGTCTCATTGTCCGTCGCTTTTCAAGATTCTAAAAAAAAAAAAAGTTAAAAATTTATTAAAGCAATGGACTTCGTCTCTTTTTTATTTTTATTTTTAAAAAAAAACGACGGATGGCGTCGCATTCTTCAAAAAAAAATTAATTTAAAAAAAAACAAAAGTGACGCAGTCCGTCGCTTTTGAAAAATCATCGAGCCAAAAAGCGACGAGATTGACTGTGTCGCTTTTGGCCAAAAAAGCAACGTAATCCGTCGTTTTTTTCCGTCTCTTTTTAACATCTTTTTAGTAGTGAAATAATGTGGAACGATGTAATTGCTACATGTGACGAAAATAATAATATAATATAATGAACAAATAAAACCAGGACCGTTGAGAAGAAATAATGAGAACGATGTAATTGCTGCATGTGACGAAAATAATAATATAATATAATGAACAAATAAAACCAGTACTCTAGTAATTAAGGACCGTTGAGAAGAAATTATGGGAACGATTTAATTGCTGCATGTGACAAAAATAATACTGTAATATATTTTTTAATATAACGAACAAATAAAACCAATACTTCAGTAATTATGAAGCGTTGAGAAGAAATAATGTGGAACGATGTAATTGCTGCATGTGACAAAATAATAATATATTTTTTAATATAATAAACAAATAAAATCAGTACTTCAATAATTATTAACAGTTGAGAAGAGATAATGTGGAACCATATAATTGATTCATGCGACGAACATATCACAGTATAAGTGATTTTATTTATATAAATATTTTTTAACCAAATATTTATAGAAATATTACTGTATAAGTGACTTTATTTTTATACAATAATAAATAAGTACTGTAGTGCCCATTATTGATTTGATAAGTAAAACGTTATCTTTGCATCCGGAGATTTGACGCTCACGATTTAAAATTTATAAATTTGTATCCGTTGCTTTGCTTCTCATTTTCCTTACAAATACACTTTTAAATTTATAGTATTTTATATTTATTAAATAAATTAGTCATTTCGACGACAACAAAAAAAGTGTAGCTTATCAACACTTCTTTATTTAATAGAAAATTGTTTTCTTTTTTAGTGTCAACATTTATATTCTATCCAAATATGTATATGTTTATTTATAAAATTAATTTTAATACTTAAAACTTATTCCGTCCATTCAATTTATGTGACATTTTAATTCATATTCATAGAATAAGTTGACTAATAGTTGAAACTAATTATATTAGCTTCGATCACCTCAATATTTTAAAATTACAATTTAATTTTTTTTTTTTATTCAAATGGGAAACACACCCATGTTGGATGTTGCTTCGTGATACCATAAATGCTAATTATTCTTATATCAATGGAAAAAAAAAACATTTCAAAATATTATGAATTTTAAAATGTGCTACATAAATTAAAATAAAAAGAAGGTCAACTATTTACAATCAACTAATCTAAATATATACTTCCTTTCTCCCAACCCAATTTGTGTGATACTTTTCATTTTTTAATAGTCAAACAACTTAAGTTTGATCGAGAATTTGCGCATGAAATCTTCAAAAAAAAATTGAGATGAAATTTATATATTTGTAAACTACATAAAAAGTATCAGAAGTCACAATAATTGATAATTTAAAATGTTTAAAAAATATATGAAAAACTTACAGTAATCAAAGATAGATTTGTTTGAATCTCAAAATTCGAAAAGTGTCACATAAAATGAGACGGAGGGAGTACTAATCAGCTGTTGAGAGGTCGCTCTCTGCTTGTTTTACTTGTTAAATTATATCCAATGTTATTCCGACACCATTCAAGAACCTCGTGGGTTTTGCTTTAGACATTTCAACGGCCCAAAAATTGGGGGACGGCCCATAATCATTTTGGCAACGTTACATTGAGCATAAATTTAATTTAATCAACAAAGTTATATTGCTTGAGACATTATATTATATAATTTTTTGTTGGACAAGGCCATTTCACCTTTTTATTTATGTTAGATTTCTCTGAATTAGTTATTTCCTTTTGCCATGTTTGATTGATTAATATCTCAAAAAACAAGTTACTTAGGGTTCAAAAGTCACGAATAATGGACTTACTCATCTATGTTTTTCCACTTAATAAACGCCATTTTTTTTTCCATATAGGGGAGAATTTTGATATCTTGATGCACTTATACATCATATCACACTATCAACATTAAATTAAAGTCATATGGGTTTTTTTAAAATCTTATTATCGTATGAATTTTATGAAAAAAGTTTTAAAGTCTTCTCAATATATTTTGACTTCAGGCTATCATTTCCATTGAGTCATCCTGAGAGAAATAAAGGATTTTTAGTTGATAAATATAATCTAAATGTTCACATGTACTTTAAATGCAACGACGACACGAACACAAAAGTACAAAGGAAAAGAGGTCCCTCTTCCAGGTTGAATACTAACATCGAATTTTTTTGGCACAATCTATTCTGCGTTCCATATTGATTTGTCCCCTGGATTGCACTTATTCTTCTTTCAAAAAGGGCCAAAACATGTAATAGTTTTAATTGACAACAACGATGGAATATGTGTTAACTTAATTATCATACCGTTCTCGTGCCATTATCTTTACAACTCACCATAAATTTCTGATTTCTCTGTGTATTCTATCAATATCCTTATTTGTCTAAACTTAACTCACATCAATCGATCGATCATGCTTCTTTGTCCGATTGGCCACATCATAATTATCTAGGTAAGTTCACTTCCATGATAAGATAACAAGAGGTGAGAACAAGAACAACCACTCTCGTAACAGAGGAAGAGGTAACTTTGATGACATCAATGCCAAGGGTCTATAAAAAACAATCTCTCTTCGGTGAAGGGGTAACTAACCCCTCTTGGTGGAAGGTGATTGTTTATCGATGAGATAACTACTGCTTCAAAAGAGAGTTTCACAAATTTGGTTGGCTTAAATGTGGAAGATCCCATTGTGTAAAAGATCGTTAAACGAGTTTTCATTATTTTCCCTTAATCAAGTTAATAGAGCATAAGAAAGTAACATCTGCTGAAAGAACCAGACGAGAGTCCTCAGTTTTTATAAACGTCAACAGGTTTCCTAGCACAATAGTTTGTTTAAATGTACAAAAGGTAGGTTACATATATATATATCTTTACAAAACACCCCATATATCCAGAAACCTCTTTGTCACAAAGCAAATCAAGTTTACATCATCCTAAAAGGCTACTACTCTCCCTTGACGATTCATCCGCAACCTTATAGCTTGCAACACATCTCAATCATACATTCCTTCCTGCTCCCAAACATCCACAAGAAAATCTACCATTTCCTGTTTGTTTTATATGATGAGCCGAAAACAGTTAAATAAAGCACATGTTTAGAACGGCTGGAAAGTTGAATAGAGCACAGTACGAGAAGCATTCAATACATTTTAAGCTTTTTTCAACAAGCAGACTTACAGCAAGTGGGATACGCTTGGGAAATGGCTTGTTGCTCCCCAGCAGACTATCATAAGTAGCATTCCAACTGCAAAAATAAAATTACTATCGAAGTATGATCCATCAATAGAAAACATTTAATTGAGCAGAGAACAAAATATCCTAGCGTGATTATTCCTCAAAAATTCATGCTGAACATCTGAATTCCATACCCATGCAAATCCCGGACAAGTATCATCCTCTCTGGCTTCTGCAGCCTTTCCTCTTTCAGTTGTTAATCTTAATGTAGGACCAACCTTAGGAAAGTATTTAGACATAATTTTGACCTTCCTATCTGTTAGGAATGCGTTGGAAGTCATTAATTTAAGTATTTAATTATATTTTTAGTTGTTTTATTTATTATTCTAGAATAGGGTTTAGTTTTAGAGTTTCATAAGGATTAGATTAAGTTATAGTTATTAGTTTGGAATAAGATTTAGGTCTCCTACTTTCATAAGAATTAGACTTCCTATTGATGTAATAAGACTCTTATTTAAAGGGGTTTTTGATGAATAAATCAGTAAGTCATAATTAAGCAAAAAGCAAGAGATCGGAGTTCTCTCTTCCATTGAACTCTAAGGTTTCTGTCTCCCTTTACAGAGCTGAAGAGATCGGAGTTCTCTCTTTCAATGAACACTAAGGTTTCAGCCTCCCTTTAACGAGCTGATTTATATATCGCCTTGTGAATCAATCCTTCCTAAAGATTCATAACACTATCCCAACACTAAATGGAAATCCTAAAACCATCACATAGAAATTGGTACTACAGAAGATGACTACAGTATTGTCTAGTTAACCAACTGATAATATATCGCCATGTCAAAGAGCCACACCTAAACTCCAAGGACTGTCATGCTTGTTGAAATGTGTGATCATCTTATCTAAAAACTTAAGCTGTTAGAGAGAGAACACTTATATTGTTTAATTATATTCTCAACACGCCCCCTCACACGCGGGCTAGATTCTTTTTTCAAGGGCCAAGCACGTGAAACTTCTTTTTGATATGGGTCGGGGTGAGATTTGATCTCCAGACCTCTGCCTGCTTTGATACCATGTGGAAGTATATGACCATCTCATCTAAAAGCTTAAGCTACTAGAGTGAGCACACTTTTATTATTTAATTATATTCTCAACAATGTTCACATTGGATATTTACCTTTAAGGAGTTCTATAGAGTTATGACTTTTAGAATTAGTTAACAGCAGGTTTCAATTAAACAAGATCACTGAACCAAAAGGTCTTCGATCCAACTAATAAACTGCTGAATATACTCCTTTGGTATCCCAACTTGCCAAATAAAAATCAAGCCTATCAGAAGTAGTTTCGACTCTTTTGTTTGAATCTAGTTTGTTGAAGAGAGAAGATGTAGTGAAATGTTGTACAGTTGCCATGCCAGAGCTCTAGAATGCTACATTTTATGATCAGAATTCACACACTCAAATACCTAGACAAAAACCCATGCCAAAAGAAATGCACCAAATCCAGTAACATATCTACTTCCAAATCAGGCCTCAAGCACCTTCCCCCAACCCAACCCAACCCAACCCAAATAAGTTTCAGCCTAGCATGATAACTGATTAATTTCTTCATTTTTAATCAAAGAATTAAAATTTAGGCCAAATTGAAAACAGATCATGCCTCGGTTAATGAGAACCTAAAACTTGAAATACTACATCATTTGTAGTCAAATTATAGTATGACAGTGTGGGGTTCTTGAATTATCAGATAGTTCGGTAAAAATTATAACATCTAACCTTAATTTGGGTTCAAGAAGCTGTTTTTGTTGCTTCTCAGGATTTTTACGTCCGACCCACTGCTGTCTGATTTGGTTCCAGCGAATAAATCCTGATAAGAAAGAACTAGCTGCATAAGTTAACTCATAGAAATATATTTTTTCAAAAACCTATTGGCTGATCAATCTTACTCTTAGGACCTTTTTACACAGACACAATGAGCAAGTTCACAAACTTCTAAAAAATCTCCGAGGGCCAAGGGGATTAGCAGGAACTATCTGGAACATCCAGATTCTCAAGAACTGGTATTTGAAAAAAATTTAAAAAATTACTGATATTTAATAACAAGTAACCACTACTTTATCAACAAAAAAAAAAGTACCCACAAGATTTACCAAATGCAGCAACTTTCTTGCCACATATTTGCTCGTCAGGTCTTATTTGTGTTGAAGACTACCATAAAACACTAGGGGCATTGTAGGGAACATTTCTAGAAGAATAATGACAGATATGATCCATGGCTAACCAGAGGTCTAACGCACCAAAAAAGATAAAGAGAGGCACCGGGGAACAAAGGAAAGAAAGAAATTTATTGCTGAAGCATGAGTACTGCTTTAGATGTCGAAAGTTCTCAATTGACAACTGAGATCTCTTATACTAGTGATGTTGAATAAAGAGTTTTCAATGAAAACATCGTGGTTCATCTAACAACCAGGATAACAAAAAAGGCATGGAATGATATTAAGTTATGAGCAAGAGAAGATCCAATACCTACCATGATTTACAAATTCAGAATGGTTGTTTGTATTTGCAGCGCCATGAGCATCGGGTGTCTGAGTAGATGTACTAATTGACGAGATGCTTCCTTGTGATTGAGCTGCACTGTAGTTGTCCATGTCACGCGTACTGGTTGTCCAAAAATCCGCCGACAGTTTAGCTTTATGTACTAAATGATCTAGATGTTTCTTCTCATTCAGAGGCTCATGAACTGAAGAAATTAATTTGATTTTACTAACGGACCCCAGACAACCACTGCACTGTTACAAATGGCATTTGTTCTGTAAGAATCAATTAGGATACATATACGTAAAAGAGACGTCTTCTAGTCAGAAAATTCAAAAATAATTTCCATGGCGCATAAACAACGGAAAGGATAAATGGCTATAGGGCAAGCAGGATATAACATTTCCACCTCATTAGGATCGACTCTTCCAGAGATCATCAAAACAGTATCGACCTCTTTCTTAATGAGGTTTAGAGGCTATACTACTACATATACATTTGGTTATTGCTTTAATAAGTTACAGACTTATGGAGCACATACGAATGGACAGATTGGGAATTTGGACTGTGTGATGACAAGGTCAGTGTAACACCAATTACTAGTAAACATTCTTCTGTCATTGAATGGACTAGATTTAAGCAAATAGCATCAAGATTAAAGTTTGATTACCTTTTGATGTAAATAACTTTGAGACCTACATTTTGAGGAAAGTAATTGTTTTAACTACTGTAAACTCCTTGACTAAATCTTCAGAGACAAGTGAACTACATTTTTGCATTTAAAAACATGTTAATAATTGTTCTAATACCAAATTATTGGTATTGAAGAACAGAGAAGAGAAGAATAAGAGAAAAGAGTATAGATGAGGAGAAGTTTTGGGAGAAAACTAGCAGATTGTATTATCATTTATCATGGTGCAATACAAGTGTTTGATTGAGCTCTTATACTACCTGCTACGTCCACATGAAGTATGCTGAAAATGAAATAACAGGAGAGAAGAAATTAAATTAGGAAAAGAAAATGCTAACTTAAGCTGACAAACTTTCCCCCGACAATTAGCTCTTACACACACTTTGAGCTAATTATTAGCTTAGCCACTAATTCCGTTTCAAGTTTTTCAAAAAGTATCAAAATTATATGAATAAAAAGTTATTCTGCATCCCTCAATTACCATCTTTTGGTCCACCATTATTCACAATTACTTCATAAAGAAATAAAAGAATCGAAAACCTAAAAGTTATAAAAACACATCATTTCTGGATTACAAATTTTTGGGAAAATTAGGTACTTCCCAGTCATTGATTCATTTCATTATTTCATTGATGGGCTTTCACAATGTAAGTCAGTGGAAGCAAACGGGCAATCGGCTGCCTAAAGGACCCCATTTGTGGTTGAAGGTTAAGTTTATTCTCCTTCCTTCAATATATCTCACTCCGCTATGCTAGAAAACTGAGCAGCTTCAGTTTATTACCAACCTCGAGTTCAACAACCATTGGGTAAAAACTAAAACTTACTCCTTTCCTTAAGCAATCCTATCCTTTTCTTGCTTTCTTCTTGTCTTGAGCTTTTATAGAACAGCTTTATATCATGGTTAGGATGAAGCGTTAGTAGATATAACAAGTGTGCCGGGCTTTCTTTGCTGCTTTCAGGGTATTTGGAAATATATTTAGAAGTCAAAAAAGAATAATTCCAACTCACTCATAACAACAACAAGCCTGGTCCTCAAGGCCATCACTATTCAAAGTAATAATTTCAATCAAGAACACCTTAACCCTAAACTAGTTGGGTTAACTATATAAATACTCTCTATCTATTTATATTGAAGCCCAATTCAGATGATTGTCATATACTCATAGATAAAAATTCTATATCCTTTCCTCAGGAACCATGTCTACTCAAACGCCTAACCAAAAAAAAACCCTAATTGAATAAACCAAAAATAAAATAAAAATTAAGCTATGATAGAGACCAAAAATACATTACCCCATGCATGCGATTGCGATGAATTGGATGAACCAAGCTGAAATAGATCCGATTAGAAACAATGCTGCCACTATAAACAACGAACAGACGAAAATAAAAAAATTCACAGGGCCTGCTATAAAAAAACACCAAAATGTATCAAATTCTTACACGAATCGCAGGGGAAATTTAAGGCAAAGAGATGAAATACCTTAAGATTGAGAGAGAGAAAGTCGGAGCAATCTCTCTCCGGGGAAAAACCTTCCAGAAAATTGGTCCGGTGCCGGAATGGTGAAATTCCCTTTCAATTAATCATTAGATGGTTATTTTATTCTCCTTATATCGTATTTATATACATGATCAGCATGGATGAACATTTTATTTTTGGGCTCACGTTGATTTCTTTTTAAAAACCGTCGGTAATGATTGATACGAGATATAAGGTGTAATAATCTTAAGATAAAATATAGGGTTATTTGATCTCAATTACTATATTTTATTCTAAGTTTGACTGGAAATATTGATAGTCCTTAAATTTATTTTATCATAACATCTCATATGTAACGAAATAATTTATTTCGAGATAATTAATTACGAAAATAACTTGTTCCAAATTAAACGACTCTAATAAATTTTAGGAGATTTACATAAGTTAGTTCATAAGAAAATCACCTAGCTATGCTATAAAGAAAATATTATTAATTTTTATAGTACTAAAAATGAAAAATACAAAATGTAACTATCCCCCCAACCCTCTCTATATATCTGTCTCTCTTATTCTTTGTATTTTTTTTCTCACATTCCTCTTTCTTTCTTTATAATTTTCATTAAAAATATTCTCTAAATATTTATATCTTCCAATTGTTTGGAATTCCATTCAAATGATGAATTATTTTCATAAAGACAAAACTATATTTGATCTTATAGTATTAATTAAATACAAATTTATCTAATAGACAAAAAGAGAGGGTGCTTCTTATCCTTTTTCATTTTCTTACTTTTCTAAAAATAGCGGTCCAGTTGGAGGAATCTGTGCCATTGTTGGGTTTGAACGGAAATTAATAATTCAAACCAAAAAAATTATTTACCTGTAACTGATTATTGATTTACCAATTTGATCATAGTTTTGATTTTGTTTTATATTGGGTTATCAATTTTTTAAAGTTTTGAGTTTTTCTCTTAGCGATTTAATTGATAATAATAAATTATATTATACCAGTTAATATATAGAGTCGTTGACTTAGGAATTAGTATCATGCTTTCATTTTTTAACAATCTCAAACTCTCGATTATTCTATAATGTGCTAGTATTTTCTTTTGCAAGATACAATCTTTTAACTCATGTGCATGGTTCATTTGGTTTATCACTTTTTTCTAAACTGATTTTCAATGATTTTTTATGTGCGAAATATTAAAGACTAAACATATAACTGAACCGATAATGATCAATAGACAATAAACCCAATAATTGGCACTACAACAAAAACACCTTTTAGCGGCAATAAATATACATATTAAACAAATAGTGTTAAAGTATTTAACGACATTAGTTAATTGCCATTGGATCCAATGTCGCTAAAGGCTTTAGGGACATATACAAAGAGTGTTAATTGCCGCTAAAAGTACATATTTAGTGACAATTAAGCTATTGCCGTTAATTAATTACCGCTACAGATCATTTTTTATGTAGTGTTGGTAAGTTGATATCTTAACAATTTAGCATATTTACAAATTGATAAGTTAAACCAACAAACTTCAAAATCGAATCAAATCGATCGATACACAACTCTATTTGAAAGGCACCAATTCGTTTTTCTGTGAAACTAGCCTCATACAGTCCACTCCGGTTTTAGCAATCAAGTAAGCCCATACATTCAATTGGGTCACACGATCCAACTCTAAAGCTGATAGACATTAGCCCACCAAGCCCAATCAGCTAGGACAGCCCAAATTAGATTTCTAATTCTCTATTATTCTTTTAAAATTAAGATTATATATTTTTAATCTGTTGTAAATGATGACTATACTTAGAAAATTGTCGCTAGTGGTGCCTTTAGGTTGTGTTTCAAGTATTTATATATGTCTTAATTAGAGGTGTCAAATGATCGGTTATATTAAATTTGAGAATGTTAAAATAGATTTAGTTAATAAATAAGTAGTTCATCGCTTAAATATCAATTGGTATGAAGCTCGTTAGATGGAAATTAATTTAAAAATTAGGTTATAATTCAATCTGTTCAATTCTTACTATATTTAAAATTCAATGTTTGTTTTCTTATAGTTTATCTGAGTAGCTAATAAAATTTATTTTGTGGGGTGACTTTCCTTGAATGAGAAATTAGGACGAACTTGTTAGACTAGGGGCTAGAGTTGACGTCAACTTCATTTTGTGTATAATATTTTGGTATAAAATTTCCTTATTATTATTATATAACACACGTGAGAGTTGAGATGATAATATATCTTACAACTGTTTCAGCATCATAGGAATTGCATGAGGTGAGAATTTCATGTGTATCAGTAAAAATGATTTATTTTCCAGCTTTTTTCACTATGTTTCCAAAAATAAAAATAAAAATAATCTGCCTTAGGTAAAATTATCATAATATGATTAATCTCCAAATTTGAAATCATTGATTACCACAATTCATGCAGTATAAAAAAACATGAAACCTTGTGATTTAAAAATAAAAAATTCAACAAAGCATAATTTTTTAAGTCAATAGATGTTTTATTATCTTTGCAATGAAAAGAATAAAAAGGTAAAGAAATATAATACTTTGTTTTGTGGGAAGGATAAACACAAATAGTCTTTGGATAAATATTTAGTGGCAATAGTACCAGGATAAGTTATCCCTCCCAATGTTTGATATAATAATTTCATCATAATTTGTCATGGGATAAACTTATTAGATGACAAAACTACCCTTCAAACCCTTTGATTATCACTTTTCACATTAACCAAGTACATTCCCCATGTAAATAGCACAATCTTTTGAAATTCTTGCTTAGTTTTGAAAAAAAAAAAAAAAAACCTCACACTTCCTTATCAATTGCTTCATGGTTTTGTGCTCTTTGGTTTCATTTATTTTTATTAAATATATGTATAGTCATCCATGTTTTAGACATAGTTCTATTTTGCTTTCTTCCAATGCTTCCTGCAAGTATTTGGAATGAGTTTTAACCGTGTTGCTCTCTTTGGTTATTATTTTTAGTACGACAAACCAAACAATCAATAAGAAATAATGTCAGAATAATTAATCTCAGCATAACTTATCCCAACATAACTTATCACAGCATAACTTGTATTCAAACCAAACGAAAAATGTATTTGTACCGATAAAAAAACAGATTTCACGTATATCTCAATCAAAAAATAAAGATAGTTTAAGATCATACGAAGAAATTAAATTATCCTTGTACCACCACAAAAAACATAAGGAAGAACTTAATTTTAGGAACAATCGTATCTGAATATACAAAACTAATGTAATGTTCATTCATCACGATTTACTACCAAATTGGTTAGAACCTAAAATTTCTTCTCTTAATTGCTCTTTGTTTTTCTTTTCTTTTATACTTAATCAATAAGAGAATCCCATGCGATGCACACTCTCTTTGAGAATTCCACTACTGTACAAAGCTGTAGGATTTGCTGGCATATCCAAAATCTTCTTCCCACAAGATTTTCTATATAGTCTTCTTCTGTACTCCTCGCCATTTTTGCCTGAATCTCTCACATCTGCAGCAAAATGAACCCTTTTCTTCTTCGAATTCATCTTCTTTTCACCTGTCACATTCAAATAAGGATGCTATTTATAAAATGTCCATACTTTTCGTTTTTTCGATTCTCCGTGTGTAATCCCATCCCTACCCCCAATTTTACAAACAAACAAAAAAGGTGAATTTGACTAGCTGAACTTTTACTTTATCAATGAATATTCGATTCCCATGTGTAACCCTATCCCCTACCGGCCCCAATTTTTTTTTTAAAAATCAGGTACTATCTATATACCTGAAGATAAGCAAGACTTGAGCAAAGTCTTTTTGTGTGGAGAATTTCGATCATTCTTGGTAACTTCAAGCTCTGCATTTGGAAAATAATTTTCCCGAAGAAGATCAAAGAGAACGATAATGCCGGCTGAAACGGCTACAGCTGTTGCCAAAAAAAGGGCTTGTGAGCCCATCGAATAGGACATAGCCGGTTGGCTTGCAATTGATACTTGTTGTTGCAGTGAGCCGTCAGAGAGAAGTTGATGGATAGAGACAGAGTAGGTTGGAATCTGGATATGATCGGCTTACTCTTATATATATGGAGTGTATAATAAATGTACAAACAAAAAATTAAATATAGCTAGTATGAATTTTTATTCAGTCAATTAAAGTTTGTTAATCATAAATATTGACGTTGAATTCCACATTGGTCATAGGTGAAATTTTCCTTTGAATTAAAAATAATTATAACCATTTAATTTTAAGTTAAAACAATAAAAGAGAGTCAAAAAGTTAAAAATTATTATCTTTGTTTATCTTTACTTGTCATTTATTCATAAAATAGATTTTCATTTTTATTTGTCACTTTTGACATTTCAAGAACGGACAATTATTCTTTTCCATGTTTTACCCTTAAGCGTTAAATACTTATTCTCTAAATCATTTTTAAGACCTAATATTAAACATCATTAATAGGAATAATTTGGTAAAATACCTATATCAATAATTATTTTTTAAAAGTGTACATGTCAAGTCAAACAGTGATAAGTAAAAATGAACGGAGACTCTAAGTCGACATATGATTTTGGATATTCTTACGTTTTGAAGTTGAATGATTAGATTTAAATTTCATTTTTTTTTATCAATTAGTAATTTATGTTATGATAAATATAAATAAATTTTAAATATGTACTCTCTAAAATTAGTGGAAATGATTTTGGGTTTTGGTCAAGAGGTTTAGGTTTCAATAGTGCACCGCACGCAAGTATGAGTTGCGTAAAGTTGGGCAGTGAGTTACACACTTCCCAGAACTACAAGCTAAGGTCAATTTGTGTGTTTAATGTGTTGATGTGCCCATACATAGTTAAGGGAATTAGATCCGGTTTCACATTGTTGTTGGAGGATCAAAAATATTTATTTTGAAAAATATATATTTTTGTTGAAAAATTAAGTATTTGACAAATTAGTAAAATTATTTTTAAATAGAGGTAGAAATAGTTTTTCTACGATTGAAAAGAAGCTAAAAATTTCTGTTTTTAAAAAACAACAGAAGTAGAAACAAAAAATTATTTTTCTCAAGACTAAAATATTCTTTTTATATATACATATTTACCAATATATTTCTTCTTAATTAAAAGCATATTTCATAAGTTTGGTTAATATATTTACCAAAAAATTTATTTTATATTTTTATATAATAAATTTTATAATTTATTTTCCGTTTATATATTATACATTATTTCATATATTATTTTGCAAAATTAGAAAATTGGTAACAACAATATTTTTACAAGATAAGAAAAGGAAAATTAACAATTAAAGATTCTAGCCCCCCAAATAAGGTATAATATTAATTGAAAGTTTAACATGTACATTTTAATTTAATAAAAATAAAAGTTTAATTAACTTTTTATAATAGATATTTAAAATAGTTTCTCTCAGTAAAATAATTTTAATATTAGAAGTATATTGATAGTTGTCATTTTATGTAATTTGACTCTCAAAATCACTTTTTAAAAAAGATCAATCAAACACAATTTGCTTACAAAAAACATTTTTCAAATGAATTAACCAAACACAAATTATTATTTTTAAAAAACATTTTTCTTAAAAGCCATTTTAAGAAAGTGTTTCTAAAAATAAGTTGTTTCTAGCAGCAATGTCAAACATGCTCTTGAAAAGGTGAAGAATTGGAGGAGTCCAGAACCTAAATGATGGATGAAAAAAGAAAAAGTGATTAAACTCATATTCGCGCCGAAAAATCTCATAGGGAGCTCTTGAAGTTACAATACCTAAATTCTAATTTTTTAAAAGATACATTTTTTTTCAAAATCTAAAATCTTGATTCTATAATACATACAATTTTTCAAGTTTATTTTGTTGGTGTTAATTTTAGGTATGGGAAGTTATAAGACACAAATCCTAATTTTTAAGTTACATTTTTCATAATTCTATTGGTACGTATATTATTTTAAAGTTACAAGAGTTACCTTAATTTTTTAGAACTTATATTTTTTAAGATCTAAACCCTAATTTTATTAGTACGTATATTTTCAAGTTCTAAACCCTAAGTTTATTAATACATGAGTTTTTTTTAATAATATTTTAGGTCTAAAAGATCGATTTAATCCCTAAATTTTAGTGTGATTAATTCATACCCTTTTTTGGGTAAGTTGGAAGTTTGACATTGGTTACTAAATGATTCATAACTTTTTTCTTGGTAAGTTTGAAGTTTGTTGTTGGTTAATCATCAATCCTAATTAAACTAAGTAACGGTTAACTAATCAATAATTTTTTCGACTAATTCACATTTACCATATATCATATTCAAAATAAATTAACGTTTGACTATATTGAATAAAATTAACATTAACTAAATAGCTGCGTTGTATAAGTTTATTGACCATAATAGTTGTTAAGCCTGATTCGTTTATGAAACCTATATCGCTCACTAAAATAATATGCTATACCTAATTTTTGTGAACTTTTTTTTTTTTCCAAATATCATTTCAATCACTTATTCTTTTTCCAATCATTATTTTATTTTGGACTCAAATTAAAGAGACTGAAAGTTCTCGCTAGTTACATTACAAGTTAATATTTCATCTCGAAATAATTCTATCATTTACTCTTTTTGTTTCAAAAATAAATATGGTTTCTTTAGCAAAAAATCTAATGAAAGGTTTTTTAAAATTTATTCGTTATTTTAGGCCTTTTATTGATTTTTATTGCTAAAATAAAACTTACATCTATTGTTGCCTTGTTGGGAAGCACTGAGTTACGGCTGGAATAAAAAAGGCAATATATAAAGGTGAACATCCACATGGACAGTTTTCTTTGTTTTGAAAATTTATTTTTTATATTCTCATTTTGTTTCTAATAACATACTTTTATATAAAAAAATAAATTAAAAATTTTTGTTTTAATTTGTTTGTCATATTTTTTTATAGTTAATTTAAAAAGCTTTAATTCTAATTTTTCACGTGATATATTTAAGATCGCAATATTAAAGTATATTTTCATATAGTTAACATATCTTTATTTAAGAACAAAATTTAAAATCTTTTTTTACTATTTTAAATTATGTATTACAAGTCAAAATAAGATAAGCAAATTAAACGGGAGAAGTATGTCATTTAATTGTTGGTTAGAGTCGGATAAATATTAATAATAATATAAAAATTAGTTATGCGAATTTCTAATTATCAGAATATTTTTATTTTTCTATTTTTTATTTTTAGTTACGTAAGAAAGAAGTTAAATTTAGAAAACAATTGAATCTAGACATACAAAATATTCTGAAGTACTTTTTCATACATCACGATTTACAACCAAATTGGGAGGATACTAAAATTTCTTGTATTTCTACCCCCTCTTCTGTACTCCTCGCCATTACTATTAGAATCTTTCACATCTGCTGCAAAATGAACCCTTTTCTTCTTCCTCCTCGAATTCATGTTCTTTTCACCTGTAACATGAAAACTGTCACCTTCAAACAAGCAGTGACAGAGCTAAAATTTTCAATAAGAGGGTTAAAAATCTGTAGAAATAGACACACGAAGTAGCCGAAGGGAGTTCAACATCTAATATATATATAAAAAATTATTTTAACCATGTAAAAAAACCCTTAGTACAAAGTGGCTACACCCCTGCAAACAAGGTCGCTAAATTGCTAATATTCATATTCTAATTTATGTGATATTTTTATTGTTTTTTTTTAAGATCCAAACAACGTGAATCTTGACCAATCATCAAATTGACATGACAAGACTTTGCTAAACTTATACTTCGTCATTGTTGAGTATAACATATCATTTACGAAAGGACACAAATTAAAGTAAAATTTTCGCTATTACTCATTTAATTATTTTTAAAGTATTTGGGTATTGATAAAAGATGTTTTTTGGCCAAAAACTTCATTAAAAGAAATGCTAAATATGAAACACAACCCTAATAATTCCAATTTTAAATTAACCTAATAAGTCGAACAAGGACATGAGTCTTAATAGCTTAATTGATTGTCTACTCGACTTCCATTCTCAATCATATAATCATACCTGAAGATAAGCAAGACTTGAGAAGAGGGTTTTGGCGTGGAGATTTTTGATTATTGTTGGTTAGTTCAAGCTCTGCAATTGATAAATACTTTTGGCGAAGAAGATCAAACACAACAATAGTGCCCGCAGAAACAACCACAGCTGTTGCCAACACAACGCCTTGTGAGCCCATCAAACAACACATAATAATTAATAGCAGATTTGAATTGATGAAATTGATCAGAAGAAACACAAAAAGAGAGAATTTGTATAGCAATTCATACACGCACACTACTTGTTGTTGTTGCCGTCAGAGAGACAGCAGGGGAATCTGGATATGCTTGGCTACTTTTAAAAATAAAATAAAATATATAGACACAATAATAAATACCTAGTATGGGATTTTTAGTCAGTCAACTCAAAAATATTGACGTTGAAGTCCACATCGGTAATCGGTCAAAATTCTGTCTCATTAGTCATTATATATAACTTTGAGTTACATTCGAACTAGTTTCAGGGGTTAAATTAATTTTAATACACATTATTTATCAAAATGAATACTATTTAAATTCTTAATTTATTCGATATTGGACTCTTACAATAAAAATTGGGGTTTTTTCCATATGATAGCGTAACTGCGTAAGTTAAAATTGTAGGAAAGAGAGAAGAAAGTAGTTGGATGGTCAAAGTTTGAGTTGTGTAAAATTGGGCAGCGAGTTCACACTCCCCACAACTACGAGACCAATGGTTTGCTTAAATGAATTCGTTTATTTTACTTATTTACTATACTCCTATTAAATATGATATTTATATTTATTTGTTCAATTTAAAAAATTAAGAAATAATTTAATATTTACTCCTTATATTTCAAAATAAATATTGCGCTATGAAAGGGTTTTTTAATTTATTCTTTTATCTAGGTCTTTTAGTTGATTTTTATTGCTAATAAAACTTCTATTCATTAAGGGTTACCACTTGGAATAAAAAAAGGCAATATGTATTAATTTTTTTTAAAAAATGTAGAGAACCATACACTATAAGTAGAAAAGGATTTTATTTATTCTCATCTATAAAAAGTGAAGGTTAACATCCATATAGTACTCTATCCATGTGGACCATGTCTAAATGGCTTGGACTTTTTATCCTTTATCCAAAAAGATTTATCGTTTAATAGTTGATTATAATTATGTAAATGTTAATAATATAAAAAATAGTATATTATTTTATTCCAAATATAGTTATGTAAAATTTAATTATTTATATATTAGTTAATATTTCATCTTTTATTCTATATAAAATAATACATAAATTTCCTACTGACTTACACTGATTATGCGAATTTTAAAATTACAAATCAAACCACCATATTAATATTATATCATACATAAATAACTTACCTCTAATTCAACTATCAAACTAATACTCTTACTTATGCAAAATTTGATTCATGCACAACTCATCTCCAAACCAGTACCAACCGACCCCTTGCATGATCCATTGCGGAATGAAATGGAATTATGTTTCTTACGCATGCATAGAATCTTGGATCCTTTTGTAAACTCTGGATCTAGTCAAATAGTATCAAACAATCAATTTAGAAGGGAGTAGTAGGTTAGTGAAGATGTCATGATTGATTGCATTTAGCATTCTAGAAGGGGAATCCTTGACCAAAAGTCCTCTAAGGAAAAGAGTATTGTTTCGTTAGCAATAATAATTATAATGATAGTTGTGACATCCAATAATAATAAGGTCACCATTTGTTCACATCCCAATAATTCAATTCCAAATTCCCACTTCTACCAACTCTTTATCCATATCGATTGAAAAATAAAGCCATTAAGTGCATGCTTGAATGATTTATTTTAATCGTTTTTACTCGAGTCAAAGTTAGTGTTTATTTGAATTGACTTATTTTAGGTATTTTTAAGTTAAAATAACTTTTAAGCAATTTTATAGTGTATAGGTAAAATTAAAAAAACATAAATTAGAATTTCTAATTTGCATTAAGAATTACTTAATTACTTATTTCTCATATCCTTAGAATTACCATATCAATATTTCTGCGTGAGTGTGTGTTCAAATGTAACTAGCAAAAGTGAACGAAAAGAGTAAGTAGTAAGTCAAAAATCAATTCAAACAAACTTTTAGAAATCCTAACTCATGATCTATGCAGGCTATGCTTATAAGTCATAAGTTATATGTTCATCCAAACCGACTCTAAATACCAAATTGAACAAACGGTAGATCTAGATCATGCCACACGTCTTGAACATAACTTGTGTGGGAAAAGCGATATGTTAAGTTAAAATGGCATAACAAAGATGAAGTTGGTATACAAAGACTCAAAAGGAAAGTATTACAATGCTAATTTTCCAGAGAGATTGCAACCCTTGCAGAACTCACATGTAAAATGTTAAGAACAAACTGCAACAAAGACTTACAGTCAATAAAGCATCTCATACAAACTCAAGTGCACTATCCAACAAAAAAAAAAAAACAGAAATCTGAAAAAACAACTACTATCATGTATTATTCCACAACAAACTGCACCCTTCAACTAACACACGAGTTTGTTACCTCTTCGCAAAACAAGTAAACATGAGAATTATCCACTTATGTAGTGAGGTTAGGAGGAAGGTAGTCAGATTTAGTACCAAGAACCCTGGCCTTGGTATCTGGGAAAAATTCATGGCCTGGTAGCTCCGTGATATCCCCTTCGCTAGCCACTCCAATAGGGTAGCGGAGCAAGTGACCAGGCAGATCTCTTTCCAGACTCTCACTTGAATACATATCCCAGTATTTATCAGCTATTTGATTCACCTTCCTCACACATTCCTCACTTTCTGGATGTTGGAAGGTCTCATCGAGCATACCAAGGTGCTCGTACCACAATGCCATTCTGAAACCATGAACTTGACCCCTAGCTGGTTCACTGGTGACCAAATGATAAGGCTGGTAGGCTCCCATGGCTATTTCAGAATCTCTAGCACCATCCATAGATCTCTGGTTTATATTGGCCGATCCAACTATGATGTACTCATCATCCACTGTTCAGAAATAAAGTTAGTTATGAGCTAGTATAACATTTATGCAGTACTTCACATGAAAATGTGCTGGCATAAGCCATGAGAGCAACCTGTGATCATTTTCACTTGGAATGCATCGACACATTTTCAACACTTAGAGAACCGTCCTTCCCTTATATTCAATTCAGAAACTCTCAAAAGTTCATCAAATTAACAAATTAAGAAAATTTGAAGTATAACCAATTTCGATTTCTTCAGTCATTTAAAAACTGTTTAATTACTGACTTATTCTAGACCTCTAGATTTCAATATCAGAAAGCTAATAATATGATATAACTACAATTGTAAACCAGTACTTACCAATCATCATCTTGGAATGGACATATATCATGAAACGTCGTGCCTCCTGAGCTCGCATGTAATTAGAATCAGGCTCTGGGCTCTCAGAAGGTTCATATTCTCCACTCTTCTTCACCTCTCGGTTACCAATGCAGAAAAATGTCAAATAATTCCTTGGATCTTCCTCGATACCTTTAGCATTCATTGCTTGAACAATGTACTTATACATCATCTCCATTGTCCTCCTCTGCCAGTCTAATATTGCCTGTACTGATGCACTTTCGGGGATTCCTTCTGGCCACATTGGGACCACAACATAAACAGTAAACCTTTCCCCGGCTTCAATCTTACTGACAATCTTCAATGCAAGTTCCTTTGGAATGACATGCAAAGCACCTACGTCCTCTACCTTGATATCATCACACTGCCAGTCGGCACAGCTTCCAAGAAAATACTGATTTTCAATGTAAATAAATTTTTTTGCTCGACGAATAGCATGAATATAAGCATCTTGGATGCTTCTATCAATTATGTTATCCTTCCCACTGACAAGGCCAGCTTTTGCTGCATCTTCAGGTGTGTCAGGAAAGCCAAAAGCAGCCCCCCCATCAATTGATCTGAATAACTGAACATTCCATGTTTCATGATCATCAGGGTACATCACCGGGGATGGTGGAATTATAATATCATCAAGCTCTCTAAAGTTGACAAGAATATCCTTTCCTCCCTGCTTTCTCCATCTCTGCTCAAAATTAAACAGAACGTCCCAAGCAATTGGGCCTTCAAGCCGAGAGTGAATGTCATGCCAGGGCTCCCTTGGTCCACCTTTGGTAATTGAGCCATCAGCAAAATTGGGTTGGTGGAAATCATCATGATGTGCAGTGTCCAATGTCCTAAAAAGCGAATGGAAAGGTGTATCATATCTCCCATCGCAAAGATCAATACCTCCCACAAAACTCAAAATTCTCCTCTTTTCTGACTCTCCGCTGGGAAGTGCACTGTCCACTACTATGATTTTCTGGTGATGGGTAAACATGGTAGAGATTTGTATATCTTGGACAAAGCTTCCACCATTATCAGGATTCCGAGGGCAGAGGACACAGTGTACATCAGTACCTTGAAAGAACTGTTCAGTTTCTTGGTCATGAGTGGCCATCAGACCATCCTTCTTCAGCAAACCCACGGACGTCCTATCATCCCAAACAAGCATAAGAACTTTAACACCTTCACTTGCCTTCTTCTTGAGCAGCTCCCCCAACGTGATGTCTCCTCCAGGTTTTTGTCTCCTCGAGTCCCTCACCAAGGTTATTTCAGTATATACTGACCAGCCAGTAATGTAAATCAGGTGCTTTGCATTAGTAATAGCATCAAAGATATCTTCCCAACATCTGTGGGGCTCATAATACTTTCCTCCAGAGAGAGGGATTTTAGGAATAAAATTGTCTGGCACATGAGCATCTTGATACAAGGAAACCCGCGATCCCGCTCTCTGTGAAAAGAAAGTGTAAGGGACACCAGGATATCTAGAGCTTCTAATTCCACGTCCCCAGTTTGGATCTCGACTGACGTCAAAAAACTGTAGCTTAACGTGGATTTTAGAACCTTCTGCTATAGGATTCATTTCTTTATCCAGTATCTCAACCCATTTATCAATCTCCTCCCCTTCCAAAAGTTCTTCAACTGGAACATAAGCTCTTCCAATTAAGGATGCACCAAAGGGATTGTCATCTTTGATAGTGAATATAACATTTGAAGCCATATGTGCACAGTAAATGTGAAAAGACTCGTACCACCTTGGATTTTTTGGTTCATTTTCAATCATTCTTGTTCTCCCAACCCTAGCCTTCTCCAAATCAATTGTAGCATAAAGTTTTGGAGTTCCTTTTCCAACACCAACTGTCTCCTCAAAATGTTGCTTTATCTGAAATATGAGATTTCAAAATCAAAATTTTCATAAAGGGGTAACCACTTCCTCACAAAGGACCCTATTCTAGTTAAATCAGGATTAGAATTCCAAATAGATTGCTGTATCAAGAAAAAAGGCTAAAAAAGTTATTAAACATCTAACTGCATGTAACAGAAAGTTGGCTATGTACTATTAGCAATGTATAAAAATCATATACAGAGATCAGCAAATTACAGAGATTTATCAATGAAAAAGATCATTTGATGTTACTTCCAGAAAAGATTCAAAACTCCATATTTTTAGCCGAAAACATGAGGTACACTATATACGGGACTGTACAGCCCAACATTGAACACAGGGTGTATGGGTCCACACCGTACCCTGCTTCCACTTAAACAACACTGTCGATCCTAGTACAACAGATTCACTTGTCTAACAGGCGAATAATTGAGATTAGTTAGCACAAGAGAGCTATTACATGTATTACTGGGTAAAAAATCTAAACTACGTACGGCATAGGTAAATTTCTCCATCAGATTTAACCTTATGTTTTTTCATATGGACAAACTACAAGATTCTGTATCATGGAACTATGCTTGCTCATACGCCACAACCTATGTTCGTGCTGCTATTAAATTTGAGGGATTGAAAGAATTAGATCATCACAAAGTATACATTCCATATGTTGATGCTTGAAAGATATGTTAAGAATCAACAAAATCCGTTTTAACAGATCGATGTAACCAATAATTACCTTTTACTAGCCTATTTAGCCTCAGGAAATCGTCAAAACTCAATAATTAACTAAATCATATTTTTCTAATCATAGACTCATTTACATTATCCAACTAAAAGTATTGCATAGTCCATCACGGCTTTATGACAATCCAAGAGAAGGCTTAGGCGTAATCACAAGGAAACTACTAAAGTTCACAACTGGTGTAAAAATCTCACTACAACTTAGCAGCTAACAAAAGTAGCATTCTTCATGGTACATGAGTGTTACCCCTTCAAACAAATAGTACTAATTTGGGAACAACTGATCCAATCTTCCATACTAGCATACTCAATTCAAGCAAAACATAATGGGAAAAACAAAAAACTGAAATTGAACGCAATTGACCTCGCGATCCAAGTCAATCAAAAACATAGATCATAAGTATACCCACCTTGCTAAAGAAATGCCCACCCCCCTCCTCACCCTGCAGATTATCGACCTCAAAGATCGTGACATGTAGAGTTCCATGAAGCTGAATCTGAGCCATTTTTCACCTGCTTATCCAAAGATTAAAAAAAAAACAAAAAACATTACACCCTCAACCATAAAGTTAATAGCAAAACATCAAACCCACAAAAGTTGTACTATAAACACAAACAATCAACTATGTCTAGATTTAACTCAAAAAGAAAAACACACACCAGAAGAGATTACCCCTTTGCCAAAATGAGGTCAGAAAAATCAAGAAAGTAAAACTAGAAGTTAAGAAGAAGAAGAAGATCTGAAATCTCACACCGACAAAGCCAAAATTGAAGTGTCAATCAAAGAAAAGAAGAGAGAATATGGCCCAATCTTGCCTGTAGGATGAATAAAGGTATATTTTTAAATGTATATAAAAAGTTGTGAGAACGAGGGGAGCAGTAAGTATCCTTTTTATTAATAGTATATCCTAGATTTAAGGACTGGATCGGATCTTTATGCTCTATGCAAATATTCTACTCCAATTTAGATCTGTTTACACACTATTCGGGAATTTCAGTAGCTCATATAATTGGGCTAATTAAACTCCATCTCGTTAGCGAGGGTTCAATTTGTTAGGTAAATTCTATCCCAAATTAGATCTATATACACACTATACAGTTCAGTTCACATCTAGTGCAGTTCACAACCAGAAAAATTTTAGTCAATTGATGATCATGAAAATTGAAAACCTTGTGCCTTTTTTTCTACTACCAAAAACCGGAAATTCTGCCTTTTGGAAAGAAAATGTAAGATTGATCTCTGACTGTTACTTCCTTGTAATTTGACCAATCCCTTGTATTTCTGTAGTCGTCAGTTATGTGTCTAATAGATATTTATATTTCATTTTAGATTTTACATCTCATAATTTGAGGATATATCGAGGTAAAAAAAATATATATATATTTTTTCTATTTTTAAAACATTGGACAAATTCTTAATATGCAGAAACAATTTACAATTTGATAGTGAATTTTTGTGCTCATTAGTATATACAATTTTAACTATGTGTATAATTAAAATTTAAGTGATTCTGCTTATGTGTATTTTTGTATTTTTAACCACAAGTGTAACGTCTTTTTTTGACTGATAAATGATCAAAATGTCTGTTTTTAAAAAACAATTGATTACTAAATTCCAGACTGTTGATTTCCCTTTTTCCCCGAATAAAGACTATTCCCTTCGTTTTATATTACTAGTTGATTATTTTTCATTTAGTATGATGCTTAAAAATTATAAATAAAAAGATAATTTTATTAATTTACTCTTTAAATATTTTTTTGGGAATTATACAAATAAATGTGAATATTTTAAAAATAATTAATTGCAATGATAATATAAAAAAATAATTAATTAACTCTTTTTTGATTTATTTTAATAAAATAAACCTGTGATGATCCATTAATATGAGACAGCGGGAGTACTAATTTATCCAAAAAAGTCATCAAGGAAATATAAGGCCACGTGTAGTGCCTAGCCTAAACTAAAAGGTTTACGCGTTTTTGCCGTCGAAATGTCAACTTTGCTCGAAAGTGATTTCTATTTTATTACCATATAAATAAATGAAGCAATTAACTTGACTTTTGACACACGGATTGAACACTCATATCTTAAAAATGGAATTTTGCTAAATTTCTCAAAGAAAATTAAGTTCATGGACAAAGATCGATTCGACAAATTTAAGCATATAACACATCCATAATTGGATCGGTTACACAAAAGTATTTGAGGTCTATTTTTGGATATTTTTGGATAACGATTTACTAAATAATTCTCTTTTTATGTTTTAATAATTTTCTATGATTTTTTGGATCATATATTGAATTTTGTTTTGAACTAACTGAAACGTTTATAAGAAAATGTTAAATCACGTATTTCAATAATATTCTATAACGATCATCTTGTGATCCCGATTAATGAGCCAAGGTTTAACTTACCGTACATTTCTTCAAATTGAGCACTCTATTATTAAGGGAATCTTCACAAACACTCAGTCAATAAGGTATTTTGAGACTAAAGAGTCATTCATATACTCAGTCATGCATTTTTAATAGTAATATTATTTTAATGTCAACAAAGTATTAGAAAACCTACTGATATATTTTTAAGAAATCATATTTTAAAAACTTCAGTTCTATGTTTACATTTGCAATTTAGATTGGGAAAGTGTATATCAACTTTACAATTCAAAATTTTGTTAAAATTAAATTAATTTTACTATATTTATGAAAACTTGTTTTACAAATATTTGATTTAGATTATCCATTGATATCTTTTAAAAAAATTAAATTGTATCAGATTAAGCAAGTTAAGCTTTTAATCAATATTTAGTTCATCTTTAATATGAATTATTTCAACCTAAGTAAACTTTAGATATGATTGAACAAGGCTGATGAATGATTCAATTTAGCGGAAATTCTATATTCATCGGCCCTACTTATTTAGTTTTTTTTTTTTGGTTTCCCACCCAGTGTTCGAAACCCATATTGGAGCTCCGACTAAATTGGGATCGCGCTCCGCAGGACCCATTCAGGAGTGGTGCTCCCAACAGAATTTTCTCCATACCCAGGGCTCAAACTTAGTCCTCTGATTAAGGGTGAAACACTCTCATCAGTGTATCACAACTCTTGTTGGTGCCCTACTTATTTAGTTATGGTACACGAAAGTCAACTAAATCAAAAAGTTGTAAATGAAGCTTGGGGGGTGAGGGAGGTTCATTTGCGTTATACTATTTGTATTGAAGTTTTATTAATTCAAATTCACATCAGATAAAATTAATGCAGGAATAATATTTTTTATTAATCAAGAACTTTTTTATACTCGAAATTTAAATTAGAATTTTTTTAATTAAATAAGGAATACTCACATTATTGCCCCACATCTTTGATTAGTTGGAAGACCCCATTAACAACAAATATGTCCGATTAGTCTATATCATCTAGGACAAATGGATGAGCCGTTAAAATGGTTAGGCTTTTGCGTTGGACCAATCTATTGACATCAATTTGGTATTGATTTTATGCTCTCGTACATTAGAATCAAAATAATAAAATGTCATATAAAAATTAACAAAATAAACCTAAAAACTAATGAGTAAAAAGATAAACAAACAATGTATCAAAAGAAACATAAATATTTAACATGTACGTGGTCTCTCGTACGTAAGGATCCAAACAATTGACGAAGCTAAAATTTTAACAACTTCGTATAATTTTTTATTTTTTTTATTTTCTAACTTTGTATAATTCACCGGTGAATTTGATCATTTTTCGAATAGAGAAGAGATAAGTGTAAAAAACAAACCTCAAATAGCCTCTTTGTTTGAGTTTCATACTTAAACTATTGAGAGTATGAGTTTCATATCTAAACTACCACTTACTAGTTTGAAAAACACATTTTTTTCTTTTTTACCACTCTCATCATGATATGTGTAATACACTCTCTCTTTTATTTAACAAAATTGTCACATCACACTCCACGTGGACAAAACATTTCACCTTGACAAAAATTAAATAAATTACTAACATTAGTAAAAATTAAAGATTAAAAAATTATTATCCAAAAAAGTAATATTATTTTATAAACTAAATATTAAATATTTTCTCACCCCACTCCATCACTTCCTCTCACCCTTCCCCCTCCCCCATTTTTTTATACTTTTTTTTTGTTCTCCCCCCCCTCCCAAATATTAATTTAGATTATTATTTAAAAACAAAAATCTATATTTTTTTCTTGACTTGCCGCCAGAATTTTATTTATGTGATATTCGGTACACAAGTAGGAAAAAAAATTCCGAAAAATATATGTACATATCTAACACAAAACGAAAAAATGTAAAATTTAAAAAATAAAAAATTAGGAGCACGGGGGATTGGCGGGGGAGGGGGGTACGGGGAGGAGGTGGTGGAGTGGGGTAAGAAAAATAATTTAAATTTTATTTTTTGGGATAGTAATACTTTAATCTTTAATTAATATTAATAGTTTATTATTTAATTTTTGTCAAAGTCGAATATTTTATTTATGTAGAATGTCATGTGTCAAAGTTTTTTCAAATAAAAGAGAGAGTGCATTACACACACATGACACTACTGAAGTGTGTTTTTCAAACTAATAATTGATAATTTAGATATGAAACTCACACTTTTAATAATTTAGATATGAAACTCAAAAAAAAAAAAATAGGTGTGTTTTTGACACTAAAAAAATATATATAATTTTTTCCAATTTTTCAATTTTTCTTAGGGACCAAAACGAGGCCTTTGAGATCCGTTTTCGTTGGTGTCAGAGTAGGAAGCGATCGCATCGGAAAAGGGTAAGAAAATGCTCCTGGCGGTGCTATTCGCTAACTCCGAGGGCAACATCCTCGTCGAACGGTAATCCACAGCTCATCTCCGTCTTTTTCTCATCACCCAAAACCCTATTATTCACTTTCACAGTTGGCAACTGAGGCGCTTAAATTGGGTCTTTTGAGGAAAATGTTCGATCTTTGGCCTAATAGACTGTAGAGTGTAAGACAGATCCAGGATATTGATGCTTGTGTATAAATTGTTTCGAACTTAAACTATATACTACTCCCTCCGTCCCTTTTTAGTTGTCCACTTTAGAAATGGCACACAGATTAAGGCAACAATGATTAGCACAGTAAAGTTACAATTTTACCCTTATGACAACTTTTCACTTCAAAATTACAACCACTTATTTGAATTCAAGTGAAATAAATTGGAGGGAAACAACATACACTTTTACAATTTTCAAGAAGTGTAAATAAGGGTATAATAGGAAAAAAATTGTTGTCCTTTCTTGATTTGTCAAAATGGACAACTAAATAGGGACAACTAAAAAAGGAAATATGGACAAGTAAATAGGGACGGAGGGAGTACTTAATATTTTTGGCTGATTGTCAATTCTAAGTAGTAGAGGTGTTCAATAGGTACTAATCTTAATTGAGGTGTCCAAATGAAATATGAAGACAACTTTAAGTGACTGTAGATGACTTAAGCCTTTATTTTACTTAATTTTAATTAATTAACATGTGTTTTACTTCATTAAATTAATTTTACCTAAAATGTGTATATATCTGTGTCTGTTAAGAGTGTTCATCCCTGTCCTTAAAATTTGGGATCAGCCTGGCCCTAGTTTGCTCTTGCCTGTCCTCAGAATTGTATGAAGTCAAATTTTTAGCTACATTATGCTGAATTTTACTGCTCTAGATCGTATATCAGAAAAAGGAAGGAAATGAAAAGGAAAACCTTATTTTAGGTTTCCTCCAAGCTCTAGAAATTACTCGTATAACATAATTTCTGCCACTAAGAAAAGATGCTAACGGTAAGAGAAATGCTGATTTTCCTGATCCAAGGAAAGATGCTATTTTTTTCCAGTTCAGTCCCTTTCATACCAATGCACCTATTCACTTGCAATGAATTATTGCCTGATATCATAGTTTGTATGCAGCTTTAATGGAGTACCTGCAGAGGAGC